TTATTTATGAACAAAAGGATGGCACATTGTGTCAGTGCTCAAGGATTTAAGAAATTTTGAAATCGAAATGTGAATATCCATGTGAGCTTCTACGATAGGAACCCCAATTTAGTTGGGATACCCTTCTATTCAGCATACTACAACAGGACGACCAAACAGAAAGTAGAATATCTTCTTGAGAAACTGGATTCACCACTAAAGTATAATGTCTCAAACACAAGTATACTAAATCGAAGTAGGTCTTGCTCAATGCATTCCTTCTTAAATTTGCAAGCCGTTTGCTAGGATAAGTTAGCAAGAAGAGGAAGCCCGATATCCTTTTTCCGGTCATCGCAGAAATCTTTTTCGGGCAAATCGAGTTCCTCATTTCCGAATACATTGTATAACCGATGAGATCTTGTAAATTTTCGTTTGCCTATGTCTATATTTTTCCAATACGTTCACAAAATTTCTGAGCAGAGCGTTCCAGAAACTGTGCAGTATACATGTGCTTGTGGCTCACAAGATTTGGCACCAGTTTTTCTGCCAGGCTGTTTTGGTCTCACACCTAATTATCAAAAACACGATCGATGTGAAAGACCGTAACTCACCTGACCTCACCACGATCTGAAGGAAGGTGTTCTGTAGCCGACGGAGGCAAACCGATTGGCAACCTTTTAGTAGGTGTTGCTTTACGGATGGAAAGGAAGTGAAATTTAGTCCTATGGCAATGAGAAAAACGATGATACAAAATTCTCAAGCAAACCCACCACGCGGTGTAAACTCCTTAACAGACTGCGTATTCTCCCATAGGTCTGGAAGCTGGTGAGACACCTAGAACTCTGCCCGAATAATACCAAAATAAATCGAAATAGAGACTCATAACTCAAGCATAGATGGGAGGAAATTGCAACGCCTAGGGCTGTTGCATATCCCAAAAATGCCCCCAATATGTGGTGAGATTCCCATGGCTTGACCGTTTGGCTACGTTACCGATTAATCGTTAGATTTTTTGTTGTTTGGAAGCTGTCTGGTCATTCCCAGATATTCTGTCATAGCACGGATGCACTCAATATGGGATGCAGAGTAACATCAGTGGTGCACTCTTCTTGAAGTTGCATAAGCTAGGAATGTGTACTTTTTTGGACATCGGAAAACGACGAATCTATACCAACAGAGTTTAAAGTGAAAAGGTATGAAATTCAGTTGAGGGAAAACCGACACTCAAGGATTTTAAATCCTCAAAACAATACTGCTAGTATTTTATATTTCGGAGAGTTGTTTGAGAAAGAGAACATTCTGATCAGTGGGTAATATTTGCCTTGAAATGATTCTATCGTCTTGGAGATGTGGGTATTTTAACTAGCTGGTGGCCTCGTAAAGTAACTTGCTGGATCATGATATACAGTATGGGGATTCGGAGCAATCAGCAATTAGCCACGGGTATGAGGCCTACACTTCAAGTGACGAGGAACGCTCAGTGCTGTGTGGTTGTCTGTTAATCACACTGCTGATCAGTCATATGTAGCTCAAGTCAGAATGTTCTACCGACAGTTGTCGAATGATATCTCCTTAAAAATCCAGGAGACGTCCACTGGCTACGGTGCCCGACAATAAATAATAAAAGGCATAGCTAAACCAGGCTTCTGAGGAACTCACATTTGCACCAATTAAATAGTTTCTAACTTCATACGGTTTGAATACTCTTAATGTGATTGTGAAGCCAATAAAACTCCTCTATAGGCAGGGTACACTCGTACAGAGTCCTCTCTATCTTCGATTTAGCACTGAATCTTCTCAAATAGAGTTCACGTAAGAGAGACTAAAGCCCACATTTTCGCTAGTGGATTTACTTGGGGAAAACACTGCGGTTTGTGGATGTATCACAAGCCACTTTAACTCACACCAGGCTCACACTCAGATGTCGATTCATGACCATCAACTTCCATAGTTCTAGTTTGAAAAAGAGTGTCACAAACCTGAGAAGAGGAAATGAAAACTTGAAGGGCACAACTATAATAGTTCTAGCTGCTTGACGGTCGGTGCGTCTTTTTACTTCTTCAGGTGGTGCTAGGCTGTTCTTCTCAAAAACTTTTATCTTAAAAACCTTGATAAGCATGGCACAGATACACGAATGAAACGGAAGGGAACAAGATTGATGAAACTGAACTTACCCGCTAACTCTTTGTTGGCAGACTCCACTATTCTACCAGGCATCTCTCCTTGAGGAGACTCAAACCCACTGTCAAGGAGACGCTTAACTTCATGTGATTCAAGCGAGTTGGGGTATGAGCTCGTTGAATCAACAATGTATGATGTCATCCCATGAGGGGTTGGCTAGACTGGTAAAACTGGGGTATTGTGAAAACACTTACTGAGACTGTAGACTTGTTCGGAATTTCTAGGTGCAAAAAGAAAAAAAAGTAGATCGATGACTTTTCCTATGGAATCCTCTGGAACTCTGGAGAAGATGTGAACAGTTGATAGAGAACACGAAATGATGGTGGTCTAGATGGCCCTGATTCTTTCTTTGAAAGGAACCAATGCTAGCGAATATACACTCATTTGCAAGCTAATTTGGTTTTTCGAGAGACTCGCCTGGAAAAAAGCTGAATCTCTCGGTTTTGGGGTTTCAAGTAGAACATAGGATTGACGGAAATTCGGGGACTGCGCCTACCTGATGAGCTCCACGAAGGGCGAAACCGGTCGTGGGTTGTCGAGGAGTTTTCAGCAACTTTATGCGTAGTGTATTACAAGGACAATGCCGTTTTGTCACTAGTTAGTCTAGTTGGCTTGTGCAAGTTATTGGAATCACCGAAGTGATTTATTTCTGAAAATAACCATGTATACTGTGTAAAATTACCATTCTTCGGAACGGACAAATTCGAAAAAAGTCGGCTGTAGGAAGGCATTGGAAGGATGCAGATGGTGGTGAAACGGTCAGGTATATAACTGACATGTTCAAGGTTCCGAGCATTGAAATTTAGAGATCATTTTATCTTCCGTTATACCGGATTTTTTTCCATTTCAGTTAAAAAGTTACACTGATGGTTGCACTAAAACTGACGACAACGGAGAATATGGGGTTCTGGTGATCTGGTTACTATGATTCTGATAAGTGCATCCGAGAGCCTGTTATTCTGCTGACTGGCGATCTGAGAAGACTTTCAGTTTTCCCTGGAAGTTTTGTGACTAAACTCTTCGCCACCACCGCACTCTATCGGATTGCAAGCCAATCTGCAACCCAACTGTCAATTTCGGAGAACTAGATTAACAACCCAGTAGAACTTGTGATTTTGTAAATAGTGAGATGTCAGTCAATGAGGGGCCAACGACAAGTCAAGTGTCAGCATCTGCACTGTTGAAGGATGAGTGGCAATAAACGTTGTCTTGTTTCAAGTTGACAACACGCAGATCGCAGGTTCGTATCTCTCTCTCAAGATTTAGGAGATGCACGCTACTGATAATTCCAAAGGGCACGTTCCCCATATGTGGTTTGAAACAAGATCAATTAATGGTCTCGGTATCCACCGTAGTTGGGACCGAGCCGTGAATGGCACACGACTGATTACTATACCTACCTGATAAAGCCAGGTGAAGGCAAAAAGTGGACCTTACTATGATTTCAGGGGCTTGAGCACAACTGGCTTCGTTCTTATGATACCCGTACACATCTGCGTGCATTCCCAATAAGGAAGAGATTACTGGAAATTATGATCAACTGTTTTCATTGGTTTATAAATTCGTCGAACCGACTGACTTGGGAAACATAATCGTCAATGATAATGTTAGTATATTACCACAAAGCTCCGAATTGAGCAGCAGTTTCACTACCGCTAACCTGCATGCTTCTTTGTTCGGCTTCCTTGGAAAAGAATGGATGTGCGTGTTCGACAGGCGGTATAAGTGTACAGTTCCCGAGATTATGCGTTCACTCAAGATAAGTGTCGAAGGATTCATGTTCTTAAGTCCTGGTAACAAATGATTTTCGGCGCCCCATTCTTTCGTTGAAATAGATGAAAACCTCCAAAGAGCAATTCTAGTACAATGCCTCTCTTCAGTGAGGTCGTTGCTCTGCTTTGGGCAAAACAGAGCACGACATGTTCAAACAATATTCGTTTGATCAGACACTTCGTGCATGAAACTATTTTTCCCATGTTTCTGTGAGTCCACAGGCTATCTTGCTATCTCAAACTGAGACTCATCACTTGTGCATTCTTGTACTCGAATGAAATGATGGGCCATGGTGCCACTCAACTCCTTCCTACTGCTCTCCCGCCTGCCTGCGGATGAACGAAAAGAATCAGTTGCGTTACCTTATATGGGCTGAAAGTCAGCAGGAAGCGAATTTCAAGCCTGAAACGTTCCATCAGAATCCATGGAAGGGATGTTCCAAACAAGGGAAGGCAAGTGAGTATAGCATTGGCGACGAGAAAGTCGGTTGCTTCAATCTTTGGAAAAGCTCGTTCCTACTTTGAAATGGATGGCTGAGGTGTACACCCATTGGTGCCGCATTTTCCTCCACTACAAAACGATGCATTAGCTTTTTCATCGCAATTTATGGTGAAACATTTACAACGAGCCAAAACAGCGACCATTGTTTTTTTGTGTACTGGTTCAGACGAGTTGTTAGAGTCCCACCTGGACTGGTCAAAAGTCTCAGGCTTGCTTTGTGACTCGTCTCTGATAGGGGTACTAATGGGAGTATACTGTTAACTGACCATTCTTGCCATGGTACCCCCGAAAAGATGTCTGTACAAGGAGGTTGACTCACTTGTAGTCTCGTGGGATGGACTAAAATAAACGTGTCAAATACGCATCGGTTACTGCATATTTACGATGTGGAAAGCTGAGTAACCAAACCAGTGGTAAACGAGACCACCTGAGCTAAAGGAAGACAAACGTTCCAGCTCTAAGGAATCCTGTTTATTCATAAGAAAAACCGTCCCTATACAAAAAGCAAAGTGGCAACCCCAAAGGAGGGCAATCTTTTGTTTTGGTTACACCAGTGGAGACTAACCAGAGTTATCCAGTCGAATCCCCTTGACATGATTCCAGTTCTCAAGGAATTGTCGAGTAGTTTCTGGGATGGGTTTGTTGTCCAGCATTTCTGGAGGAAGAGAGCCGCAGATGAGAGGTCGGAAAAACAATGAAGAACCCGGCGCCAAACCGTGGCACAGTCAAGGTAATTTGAGTGGAGACAATCGAAACGAAAAATAACTGCCATGTTGGGGGAGATGGTCAGATGAGTACTGCCAGGACACTTAGCGAAATTCACTCGTTTGTAAACCAAGCTGGTGTTACTGGGAGACTCAGCTGATAGTCTCCAAAAGACTGCGCCCCATTTTTTAGTTGGTATCATATTCGCGATATCGCAGTATATTCTCTCGACGGAGCGCACTCTTGAGGTTGCTAGGACTCAGCTGGGAAAGGACTGAGTCTGCAGTTAACACCAACTTTGTTTGAAAATGAGTGAATATCTCAACATTCAACTGAATGTTCAAGTAAAAAGATAGGCTGATGAGGACTTCGCCTACAGGACGAGCTTTAGGGAGTGTGGAACTGGTTGTTGACCGTCAAGGAGTCTTCAGTAGCCTTTAGACCTGCTACTGCCTAATAATAATGTATTACCTAGTAATTGATTCCCTGGTAGTGTCAATATCCAGCTATGCTGTGAAATAGAGATCAGCCAGCTCATTAGGTTACTTGTTTGTGTAATGAATCGCTGATGACTGTTTGATCCGAATAAATTCGATTAGCCCTTAATTAGACTCCAAAAAGACTCTTTTTATGTTCTGTAACCAAATGTGCGTCTCAAAGATCGTTTCAACGTTCAACTGGGTTAAAGTTTTCTTGTCAAGCTTGATCGAAGTTTGTCGGCCAGTGATCTCGGGTCAACCAAAAACTCCTGCCTGATTAAGTTCGTCGGGGACGGCATGGGGTTGATACATCATTGAAGCTGGTTCATCCTCACACACAAAACAATCATCCTCAGAGAGAAAATTGGGATATGTGCTCTATACAAAATCCCATTCATGGAGTAATCCAAACTGTTTCACAAAGCGACCACTAATGAGAACTAAAAACCAAAAACCCTGACGGAGACAACGATGTTTACGGTACTTCTGACGTCATTTGGAGGCAGTGGGCTTTCATCACGACAGCACAAAAAACTGGATTTTTAGTAGTGTCATTGCAACCGAACTTTAATTACTTTTGTGGGGTCGTTTGGAAAGTGGAGAACCAACACCAGGGTCTCGGTTGTTTGCAGCTAGGGAACCTCCGAAATGTGAAGTTGCTACCTCCATCACGTGATCGTCGTAGTCGGGGAATGAAACCTCCATTACGAATCCACTTAGGACGTTGCCGATTGCCCTACAGAATGTGTTGCCCGGTAACACAAATAAAAGATCTTTGTTGCGTGCATGAATGATCCCACCCGTACTGCTACATGATGAAGTTCAGCTGAAAATGTGTGAATATCAACAGAGTACATTCTATGACAATAGTGTGACTGCAAACGTAGTTCATCAGTTCGCACGAAACCAAAATTAACACCAAGTTAGAAGACTGTTTTCATTTGTCGCGTAATTTTGTCACGCGCAGACAATGTGTGAGTGGTTGGTTCTGACAGGCCGCCTGATGACTATAGAACGAACAACATTTCGAACAGTATTTTACCCAGCTCACTACTGGAGTGATGGAGGCAAAACTGGATGGAGGCAAAACTGGATGGAGGCAAAACGAGGAGCTTAGTCAATCCACAACATGTAAGGTAGGCTATCGTTGTTGGAAAAGAGACAAAATGCTGAAATTGTAAAAAAATAAAGTTGGATATTAAAAGTGTCCACAGTTGGACAGAGTGAAGTCGGCCTCTAAAAATACACTGAAATACACAAGCGATCGCCACAAAAGACCGACTGCTAAACATGCGTGCAAGTACGGATAATGAAGATACTGGCCAATAAACTTGAAACTTACCCAAAGATTTAGTATTCACAACAATGGCATCTCGGACCCGGAGTTTCTTCATCACCGGATTTCCCTGGAGCTCCAAATGTGTCAGAGCTGGCCAACTAGGGAGTACTTCTGACAGCTTCCTTATGCTTTTAATATGATTGTTTCCAGCACTCAGATAGAGCAGCTTTTTTAATGGCGTCAAATCTTCCAAGGTTTCAAGGGCGTTTCCTGAGACGTCCAACCGAGTCAGCGTTTCCTAAATATCAGAACAGGAGTGAATCCAGTGGGAATATCAACCCACGGCAATGGAAGTCACGCTCTGTTCATCAAACAGAAGTGATTCCCCAGGATAAAGTTTCTGGTTGTCCAGTCGTAACTCCTGTAGCGCGGTCAATCCCTCCAAGCCCTCGACCAAAGAGATACAGTTTCGGCTTAGAAACCTAAAAAAGACGTTCACTTCTTAACTGGTGAAGGATATTTACAATTTTTCCAATCTCGCAAGAGAACCAAGGTTGTCTATACGAGTAATTTGGTTGTTTTGCAGGTAAAGATGTGTAATTTGTGTCAACACCGACAGATCAGGAAATTCCTTTAGCATGTTGTCATAAAGATAGAGCACATTCAACTGCTTGCACAGCGCTAACTCGGGGCCCTGAGAAACGAAGGTTATGATGGCAAACTTCCGGTAACCTACTTACTACTTCGTCCAAATGTTTGCCGTTCAAATATAAATGCGTGATTTTCTTGAGGTACTGATCTGGTGTCTCATCGATTTTACGTTTCTTCAGGTTTGACGTGCTCTTGCACAGCAAGGCGACGGTTGACTTCACCATGACGAAGTTGTGGGACAGCCTCTGAAAACCTTAAAATCACTGATATGATTTAAATCCGGCTAAAAGTACGAAAAAAAGACGGTGAAATAGATAAACCCTGGTCCCAAATATGTGTAAAGTGCAACAAGCTCTCACAAACCCTTTGAAGTCAAATGAGGTGGTTTGCCACATTTATGTACATTATCCCCGTGACACATGTGTTTTGAAGCAGCTGGTGAAATTTGAAGTGGGCGATTGAAACTCGGGAAAGCAACCGTCCAGTTGAGATCTGTGCAGGTTTTGCGACGATCAAAGGCTTGGCATTTTAGAACGACAACAACCGCTGCAATGAGATTGTGTTCGGACGTAGGCGGTTACTGTAGGTCACGGGATCCAGGATATCGAAACCAGTGTTTCGGGGTTTATGACCTCTAAAGTGTCAGATACATTGGGCTTATAAGGAACTGTTTTGGCGCGCATTAGGGGTCAATCGAAAGATTTTCGGTCAGTCAGAATTTCACTACGATTCGCTCCGTTCTGTTTGTTTGCTTATCGGTGCAGATTTTGAGGAAATTTAGAGTAAGAAAGCTTAATTGAAGGAATCTGGAAGAAAGTTTCTCTGTGGCCTATATTTGTACCATAGAAGAGAGAACTGCAGCGATGGTCTGTTATGATCAGAATTCTTCAGTGAAGTGGCAATGGTAGAGTTAGTATTAATTTTGCGTCTGTTTGGCTAATCGCAGTCAACCGATACGTGCTCGTCAAAGCGATGCATAGTGATAGGTAAAAATCACGGGCTACAAGTCCGTTAAAGCGAAATATGATATCCGAAATCCGCAAAAAAAACCTTTCCGCTTGTCTCTTGTAGTCCAGCCTAACTGCAAACCTGTAATTATTCTGAGTTGTTTCCCCAAAACGATTTAATGTTTGGAAATCAACCTCAAATTAGTGGATCATTACTGTGGGAGACTTGGTGAGCTTAGTTTGAAGGAAATGTCTGATAGGTACGGACGTGAATTTCGATGACTTACTTGCCATACGTAAGACGGATAAAGAATATTTTGCATATTCTTACAATCGAGGTCATTGATACCAGCGTATGCGCAAAGAAAAAAACCGCCCAGTTCTTGACTGTGTAGTTTAGAAGACTATTCAAATGGCTGGGACAGTGGCGTGGAAGCTCAACCGAGGTGCGGTATTATTTTATGGTCTATACAGGATACTCAGCATCGCATCAGTTACAACTGCACGATTTTGGAATTCTGGGCCTTTGGTACAGATCTGAAATCTGCACTCACTGTACTAATTTCCTTTTACAATATGATGCCATGGGTCAAAATTCAAAGGAAGCTGACAACCTTGTGTCTGCCTTGTGGGTCATTTGACTGAGAAGTGTGAGTTTACTGGTGTGAATGTGTCCAATGATCTTCAAAGCTGCATTATTAATACCAGACGGCATTTTCTGATATTCGATTCAAGGAAAGAAGAATGTTCAATGATTCCAAAATGATTGTGTTTCTAAGTTCTTGTAATCATTTCAAACCTATAGAAATCAGTCAGTGAAATCGACTCGCTAGTGATCGAAAGTATCAGTCAAAAAAGCCGCAAACACTGATGCCTTGCGAACTAACTCACCATCTGAAGTCATTTAAAACGTCGTACTGGTTATATTTAAACCTTTCCGGTCCTTCCTTGATAAAGTCTACTTCCTTTCTGTTATGATCCGAATTAAGGCTTAGTCATCAACTACACAAATTGTCCTACAGGTGAATTTTCAAACGGGGAGATGGTACATTGGCATCAGTTGGGTAAAACGACCCTGATTTCGGTTTAAGGATGTTTAAAACTTTCGGTTGAGCTTAACTTCTATGTGCGAGCTAATAACGTCGCTGACCGAACATTTGTGACCAGATGAAGTAGCGTCAAACTATTTGCAGGGAGATCACAGCTTCAAATCTCTCCAGCAATTTGTGAGATTGCCTTGTAGGTGATTTCAAACAGTTGTGTGATGCTTCATGGCTTTTCAAAAAAGATTTCCTGAACCTAGGCGATACGAAAACTCAGCTCAGATCCGCTTCTTGTTAGGAAAATTCTGATTTAGGAATACTGACCTTAGCCGGTCATCACTACCATCCAAATACAATTTTGCTAAGATGACTACACAAGCAGCATATCACATAGTTCCTCATAAATGAGTGGAGACGACGGACAATTCAAATGCTGTCGACGTAGACATAAGAGGAATTTTCCAAGTGGAAGCAGCACAGCTGTTATTCGAAAACCGGACGATGGGACTTACCTTCCAAAATGTAAGATTTCAGTGTTTTAATTTATATACTCAGTACATTAATCATTCTCTTATACATTTGTAAAAGTCGTAGGCTTAGGACAAAGTTAGACCACATGAATGAAATAAATTTCAGTGTTGTGCGTGAGCTAACGTTGATACAATAATTCTTGACCACTTTGAGTGAAGTCTAAAAAACCATAGAGCAAAAATGTTATAAACTGCATGTTTGTCTCACTTACTAAAGCCAAGCTCAGTCACGTGAACCTACTGACAAGGAGGTTGGTGGTTCAAAGCCGGCGTATTGATCACTGCTATTCAAGCAGTGGTTCAGCCACATTTTTTTTTCTGGAAGGCACAGCAGTTGTTCACCCAAACTGTGATACGTTTGAACGATTCTTGTCATTGTTATTATAGGCATACTCACTCGGTGTGTCACAGGTATACTGTGTAGTACGTGATCCTGTGTTCACTTTATAGGTTGATATTTTATACGCTGTTGGCAAGGTTGTATAAATGTCCAAACTTCACGGCTCATATTGTAAACAAACATGTCTCCTTGATTTTCGTAAGCTTCAGTTGATCTTGCAGTAAGTACTGGTGGGATCCCCCCTAACTACTGTCACTAGTTCAGCTACTTAGCCGGTATGTTTGTGCTCTTGATTGTGGAATGAATGCATTAAGGTTTCGCCAAGCTGCATATATTTATACAACCAATGTTTTTGGCTTTTTCTTTCGTTGCACCGATTATTGATTGCCTCTTAGCATTTACACCAAACACCAGAGCTGTCGGCCTACATTGGCTCAACACAGTGCTCTCTCACTCGTGTTTCCAGCGAACAACTTTTGCAGGGCATTTGTTATTCGGGACCACTTGAAGACAAGGGACTCTGTGGTATTGAAAAACACTGGTTTTGTCTGGCCACAAGCGTTTCACTGACTTTAATTGTCGCGCGTTGTTAGCAGGTCTCTTGATTAGATATATTTAGAATACCTGTAAGCTTTTGAAGCACGTATGACCAAGTGCATTGTCAACCGTTGTCCTTCAAAATCTTACGCGTTGTTCCCGAGTTTTGTTAATTAAGGAGATGACTATCACTATCCAGAATTCCAGAAAAACCAAGTAAGGGTAACAAGCCATCCGAAGTCTATACACAGTCTCTCCCATAGAGTGACGTTTTGTAACAGTATACTAAGATCTAGTTTTGCAGGATTTCTCTTCATCCTCAAAATGATTCGTGGTTCATTTGTAGCACTTTTCTGGTGCTTAGCTACCGTGTCACTCAAAGGAAGCCCGAGGGCATAGATATTACCAGATTGTTCAAACCTAAACAGGAGCAGTCAGGGTACAGAGGTTTGTTTCGAATCACGGACCTTGCGTTCTGTAATTTTGCTCCTTAAACACTGAGTCATCTCGAGTCCCCTCAGGTGATCTACAGCTTCCTCAGTCTAGGTGCACGGCTTTCATGTCCTACTGATTGGTTGATACTTAACGTGGAGGAAGCCCCTGAAGGTCCGGTCAATAAAACTCATACCATGCTAGCAGGTCTTAGATCCGATCTCGTGGACCCTTTCTGATGACCGTTGGTTTACATCAACAGAATCTCAGTTGCTTGGTCCGGGAGACTGTTCACATACAAGCTCAACATATCTTCGACCAGCGTTTGGTGTCTCGAAGATACTAATACCGATAGAGTTGTGGGTCGTTTTCAAAGTTTTCATACAAATTGGTAAACAACGCAGCAAACTACCTACAAAATGCGGCTCAACGCGATTTTTGGGAGCCGGTGCACAACATACAAGTTTTCTGGACACAAAACAATACCAAGCCGTTAACCAACGACGACGGCGACGACAACAACAACAACCGAAAAAGTGTTGTTAGCGTACTACGAGATTGTTCACTCATTGTGGTGTTTTACTGGCACATGTAGCAGTTTCCCTGTGTGTTCAAACAAAGAGGTGTTCAAAAATTGCTCAAGCCATCGTTTTACCAAAGGAAACATTTGGGTGGTGCTCATTTGGAAGTTTTCATCCGAGGTTCCTGGAGTCAAACTGGTTCTCCACTTCAACAATTAAAAGTCAGATTTGAAATCTAAAAAGGTAAACTTCACTGTGTACAGTTCTACTTCTGTCTATCTCTTTATTAACATATTGTTGGCCTGCATGGGACTTTTGGACAAAATTGAAGAAAAGACTGATGGAGAATGTCTTTGTAAGCGAAAAACTCTGCACCTGACTGGAGACGCCACAAGATATGGCTGTTAATTGGTGGTAGTGGCGTTTTCGTTGTTAGTCTTTATGTAGACTGCTTCAATGAATGTCTATTGGTGTAAGCACCTTAGAATGACTATGGTAGGCTTTTATGAATTCCCTCCGACAAATTATATTCCTGACTTCGCAGGATGGGTTTTAGGTAAGCCATGGTTGTACGGCAGCGAAGCATCAGTAATGAACCCTGAAGTCATACTATCAAAGCCGGAGATAATCTGACTATAGATGTGCACACATCCACTTGACTTTTAAAGGAAAAATTGATTGCCTTGAGCTATATCTTTAATTTATACCATTAATTGCCTTGGCATCCATCATAATAAATCTCTTAAAATTGAATTCCATGCAGTTTAAAGGTGTCTAATTGTTGTGTTGTGTCTCTAAGCGGAATGTGCCTTTCTGGAGTAGGAACAACTTACAAAGCTACAGAATATTTGGTTTTGGCCTTCAGCTTTGCGCTAAATCACCATATCTGCTATTGTATCGATACCCGTAAGGTGCTTAAACCTTCAGAGGTGGAAGCTTTTCATTCTCGGGCTGTAACTCATTTGCCATGGGATTACAAGTTTTTATATTACTAAACCGGATCCAAACTTAAAACTATACCGACCAAAACCGACTTTTGTTTTGGAGTGTCTCCAGGTTTAGAAGTGCTTAGGTTCGAAACAGCCTCACCATACATATTTTGCAAACAGTTATGCGCAGTCGGTCATAAAACCACACCTCAGTGCTAGGTGAAAATAAATGTTGACGTTCCGCAAACTGACAACCAGTTGTTTCCTTAAGTAGTTGAGCTCAATTTTTTGTGACGGTTGGTAATCCGGCTTTTTCTTACGTGTCACATCTGGATTCTTGGGCCTTCACTGAACCCCAGATGCTTTCTTCTCCGTGTTTCTCTGCGCCACTTCTGTCCACAACCCGGGTTTTTTAATGAGGTGATTAGGTTATCAACTTCCCTATATCTACGTCTAAATTTTGGATGCCGGGGCGTAGATACATTGTCAATATAGAATAGGTGCTAGTAGCATAGCACTGCATAACTTTGAAAAAATTAGTGTTGGTCGTATTTTTGGTCGGCAATCTTCTATATCGAAGCCTCCATGCTTCAAGCATAGAGGAGTGAAAGCTGATTGTAGGGTTTTTTCTTCGAATCACTACGCTGTTTTCAGATCTACATCGGCCGCTGCTGTTTGTCACAACGGTCACGCGGCATGATCAGGTAATCTTCAGCCACAACATTGGCACATATTGCACACTGGTTCGTTTTTTTATCACGAATGGGTTCTTTTCCTCGGGTTTTGAAGAGTTTGAGTGCTGTCGGTGTTGTTCACTCTCCATGGATTCGATATAACCTTTCCTGTGCTTGATTGGAGGCACTTGGCGACATGACTACTAGCTGATGTCACCGACGTTGATGCTATCAGTTGCTATCCAGATTGATTGAGGGTTGGAGGCGTAGGCGCCTCGGATGTTTTGGTAGGCTAGCCCAAGATCCTTCTCTGTCCCATTCCCTGATTATTTTTTACCTTAAGGGTTCATTTAATTGACTTGACATGTGAGGTACCAGTATTCTTCTCCGCCATCGGCAATGACGGTGATAATATCGGTGATATCATACGTCGAATATTTGGTCCATACCGTATGTACGGTAGCCGCGAAAACATTAAAGCCCCTCCAAACCACCAAATCCCACATTATGTTGATAGCGGCAAAAGTCCAGTGAGAGTCGTTTCATGGAAACGGACAGATTTTCCCGTCACTTCGATCAAACTGAGCGACGAGTACTGTGGCGTTTTGTACCTTTATTTTACTTCCATTATAATACTACGTATTTTATCAATTGCGTAATCGTTTTTTGTTTGATACGAAAAACTACAAAAAACACGCACTTGTACAATTTCACATAATACAACCGTGGTCACGTGCTTCGACTCTCTCTTCTGATTTCGCTCGCGCTTGCAGCGGTCATTCGCGAGTCTCATGTACTAACTCTGGTACCAAAACATTTCAGATATCTTCGGAATCTATTATATGTGGGAACTGTTCAGAAGAAGACCCCTGGACCAACATAACTGGATTATAGTTTATTCGCTGACCTGGGCCAACGACGAACTATTTTAAACAGAACAATTGTTAGTGAGTCTGTTCCATCTGACTTCTTTATTTTTGTATGCCCAACCTCCATGTCCTACGTCATCAGCGCTTTCGTTGATGACCACAGCTTGGAGCAGTTAGCCCAAATGGCGGATAAGATACACGAAACATACCCCAGTAACCCCGTAAACTCCGTCTCCCGCTCTGCGCCCACTACAGATTCCGACCCGCTTCTTGCTTCTATATCGCACCTACAAGCCAAGTTTGATGCTTTGATCGATCGCCTACAACGGTTAGAGATCAACAGGCATCGACCACGTTCACGATCCAGATCGCTATCTCGTGCCCGTCCCTCTTGGTGCTGGTATCACCAATCTTATGGCCCAAAAGCACGCAAGTGTCAACCACCTTGTTCTTTCAAGCCACGTTCCAACACCCCTTTAAACACCCCGGCCAGTCAGTAACGGCGACGAATGTCTGTGGCCCTCCTCGCACTATTCGCCTGTTCCACATCACCGATTGTTCAAGTGGTCTACGTTTCCTCTTAGATACGGGAGCTGGAGTTAGTGTGCTATCACATAAGAATCCACTTCCCGATTCTGCTTCTTTCTCCTTACAAGACGCTAACGGTACCCGCATCGCTACATACGGCGAACGTTCCCTCACCCTTGACCTCGGATTGCGACATGCGTTAAAGTGGACCATCATTTTGGCCGACGTCCAAACAACCATCATCGGTGCAGATTTCCTGACTCATTACAATCTATCTGTCGACGTGCTACACAAACGTCACTTAGACACGCTTACTTCCCTCTCAGTCAACGGAATTAGTGCCCCAACTTCATCCACAGGTATCCGAGATATCTTACCGGATTCACATTTTGCTGACATACTTAGGGATTTTCCAACCCTTACTCACCCATGTCAGTACACCCAACCGGTCACTCATTCCGTCGTTCACCACATTCAGACGAGAGGTTCACCTGTCCAAGACAACCCCCGCCGACTTCATCCGGATAAGCTACAAATCGCAAAACACGAGTTTGAACACATGCTCGAACTCGACATAATCCGCCCTTCATCGAGTCATTGGTCATTTCCCCTACATATGGTACCTAAGAAATCTAAAGGTGATTGGAGACCCTATGGAGAGTACCGTTCTCTCAACAACGCTACTATCCCGGACAGGTATCTTATCCCACATATCCACGATTTCGCGAGTACCCTATGCCACACAAACATCTTCTCCAAACTCGATCTCGTACGAGCACACTACCACAAACGCGTAGCCCCGGATGACATTCCTAAAACAGCCATCATAACACCGTTTGGTCTTTTCGAATTCACGCGCATGCCCTTTGGTCTTCGAAATGCAGCCCAAACGTTTCAACGTTTCATGGATGAGGTTTTACGTGGCTCACCGTTTGTGTATGCCTAACTTGACGATGTTTTAATCGCTAGCACCTCCTCAACTGAACATGCAGCTCACCTTAGAGCAGTGTTTGAACGTTTTCCCACTTACAACATACGTTTGAACATTGATAAATTCTTATTCGGTGTTACTAGCCTGGATTTTCTTGACCACCACATTGACGCCACAGGTATTTTACCATTACCCAATCGCATTTTGGCCCTAGAGTCTTTTCCCATACCCACCACTCTAACCTAACTTCGTCGTCTCATAAGTATCATCAACTACTACCGGCGATTCATCCCTCACTGTGCAGATATTTTGAAGCCACCGACCGATTTATTTGGCTCCAAAGAAAAATCTGTTACTTTGCCCCCCGCCGCCATTACTGCTTTCAAAAGAGCCAAGCAAGCCACTGCTCAGGCCACAAAGTTATCTTTCCTGGATACCCACGAAAGCACAAAGCTGATTTTAACAACTGATGCTTCGAACGCTGTCGTCGGTGCCGTGCTTCATCAAGTTGTTAACAACGCTTTTCAACCACTGGCGTTTTTCTCGCAGAAGATGCAGGCTGCCTAAACGCGTTACAGTACTTTTGGTCGTGAACTACTCGCAATTTACCTTGCTGTTCGCCGTTTCGGGCACTTGTTAGAGGGTAGATCGTTTACCATTCAAACTGACCATAAGCCACTCACCTATGCCTTCAACGCCAAGCCTGATCGATATTCATCATGCGAGATACGCCATCTCGACTACATTTCACAGTTCACTACCGACATTCGGTACACTCCAGGTTCGGAAAATGTCGTCGCAGATGCACTATCCCGTCCTGATATCAGCGCTCTTCACCCTTCCACGCAGCTGGACCAAGCCAAGTTGGCTAACCTTCAAAATAGTGATCCTAATTTTTTGCCCATTCTATCCTTCCCTTCATTTCAAGTCTCTTAAATTCCCTTATCTCTCCAATCCGGAACCATTTTTTGTGATACGTCTACAGCTTTGCTCGCCCAATCATCCCCAAAGCCTTTCGACGGATTGTTTTTGACCATTTTCATGGATTTTCTCATTCAGGAATCAGAGCAACCAGGAAGTTGATTAGTGCACGCTTTTTACGGCCCTTCATGAATAAGGACCTGACATCCTGGGCCAAACAGTGCATCGCCTCTCAACGCAGTGAAGTAACTCGACACACAAACTCACCTATCGGTTCATTTGCCGTTCCTGATGCTCGATTCACACACGTCCATCTCGACATTGTTGGCCCGCTTTCCCCATCAAACGGTTTCACGCATATTCTTACCATGATCGATCGTTTTACCCGTTGGCCAGTAGCTGTACCAATTTCGGATACTTCGGTTGAAACGTTTGCCCTTTCATTTTTGCAGCACTGGGTGAGTAATTTTTGCATACCTTCCACCGTTACTACGAATTGCGGTTCACAATTTCAGTGTAATCTCTTCCGTGAGTTTTCTACACTATTCGGTTTCCATCACATATGACTACCGCATATCATCCCTGTTCTAACGGTCTGGTTGAGCGTTTCCATCGGTACCTCAAAGCTACATTGAATGCCCAACTGAACCCATCTTCATGGTCCTCTTCTTTACCCCTCATTCTGCTTGCTATTCGCTCCACTATTAAGGAGGATCTTCACTGTTCACCAGCCGAACTAGTGTACGGTACAACTTTACGTTTACCCGGTGAACTGGTTTCCCCTTCTGGCGCACAGCCCGAATCACCCGTCACATTCGTCACCCGTCTGAAACAGCACATGTCCGAACTTCGTGCGACACCGACCAGACGATCAACGCGAACAGAACACATCTCAGCCGATCTCTCTTCTACATCTTTTGTGTTTGTCCGACATGACGCAATGAGGAAACCTCTCCAACCCTGTTATGATGGCCCCTTCAAGGTTATCGATCATCACTCCAAATACTTTGTTTTAGAGAGAAGCGGAAAGCATGATACCATCCCCATTGATAGTCTGAAACCTGCCTGTATTGAAGCACCCACGACCACATCCAGCAATCCTGCTATTCCAACAACACCCACACCTACCCAAGATATCCCTCCCGCCAACCTCACGCCTTCCACTAGTCATTCAGGACGACGCACCCGTTTCCCTCAGCACTTGGCTGATTACAAAACTTGAAGTGAGCAACTTGTGATTCGTTACTTTAGTTATTCGAGCGTTTTCCCCTTTCATGGTCAACGCTCTAGTGGGGGAGTAGTGTGGCGTTTTGTACCTTTATTTTACTTCCATTATAATACTACGTATTTTATCAATTGCGTAATCGTTTTTTGTTTGATACGAAAAACTACAAAAAACACGCACTTGTACAATTTCACATAATACAACCGTGGTCACGTGCTTCGACTCTCTCTTCTGATTTCGCTCGCGCTTGCAGCGGTCATTCGCGAGTCTCATGTACTAACTCTGGTACCAAAACATTTCAGATATCTTCGGAATTTATTGTATGTGGGAACTGTTCAGAAGATTATAGTTTATTCGCTGACCTGGGCCAACGGCGAGAACAATTGTTAGTGAGTCTGTTCCAGCTGACCTCTTTATTTTTGTACGCCCAACCTAGCGTAATTATTTTTATTTCTTTGCCACACACTCCCGGTAAGCTAACTTATTGGGTAGCCAGACCATTACAGTACATTGCATTACCTTTTACAGGAGTTTGTAAAATGAGCTGTTCCTCTAGGCTTGGTCTGTCAGTTTTTCAAAACCCGATTCGGTTCGATACATTATCGTTCAGGTGCAGAAAGACATTTAGCTTGGGTGTGGCGCAGTTGCACACCCAGACCCATCTTAGGATAACGCATGCTTACCTGACCAAATGTAGAGTATGCACGTACTAAAACGGTGCGTTTACCCGGATTAGTCGATGTAACATGCCGGAAGTGCGGACTTTGCGGTCTTGTACATCAGACTTTCTGTGTTATGGTGGGTGTAGTATGACGCTATGTAAAGCACCAGGGTACAGTGATTCTCCGAAGACAGGTGTTCACGACGATTTCTGTGGATGAAAAACAGAAATAAAGCTCATGAGCCAAAGCCCAGTAAGCAAGGTTGTACATCACCGATACACATGAATCAATCAAAATGACAGACACCGTATATTACAGTGGGCGGTCAAAGTCCAAACTTGAAACCCCACCGTAACACCTGCAGGTGCAACGGGGTACGTTTATGGGAAAATGAGCAATTTAAACAAGAAGCTCTATGGGTCACAATGACCATATATTTTAGATAAATGGATGGTTACCACTGAGCGACAGTCGTTACCTTAGTCCACAGATTTGATTGCTGATTACTAGAAGGCAATGCGGA